AAAACCCTCAGATATTTACAATAAAGACGACGCCTTCACAGAGACTATTCCGTTTGTGATCTTGATTTTCTCCCTGCTGCACATATGCAAAGAACTGTTGCAAATCTACGTTCAGCGTTGGAACTACTTCAAGGACCTGTCTAATTACCTGGACTGGACCCTTTATATCACTACAGCATTGTTTATGGTCCCCTATGTCACAAATCCAGCCGACCTCGACGATTGGTTTGGCGGTATGCAGGATCCCCGAGTACTTTGGAATATTGGAGTTCTTGCAATCTTCGTGTGCTACACCAACATGATGCTGTTTCTCAGAAGATATCGCTTGTTTGGCACTTACATCTCAATGTATATTGAAGTGACGAAGACTGTATTCCAAGTTATGGTTGTGTTTATTTTTCTGGTTCTGGGATTTGCATTGGCTTTTTACGTCCTCTTTAAAGAACAGGTAAGTTAGTTCTCAGGTATTGTTGGCTAATCAGTTAATCTTGCGAAGAAAAACAATAATTGTGTTATTAGTTGATTTAACTCTTAAGAAAAGATAAGAAAGAAACCATGAATTTTGGGATCGAGAAAAATGTCCTTTTTCCTTAATAGAGATTTCCCTTCAATAGGGCTTGATACTGAAGCAGATACAAAGATTACATGAACATTTTTCCGGGACCAAATTTTGGTTTTCCGTGAATGGAGTTGTGTCACAGGGGAGGTTCCACTGTATCAGTCATATCCAGGAAGACACTTAGCAAGATGACGTCAATTCAGTTCAACTTCGTACCAGTATCCTTTGCTTTGAGGGATCTGAACCCCCAAAGGTTCTCTCGTTAGAAAAATAAATAATAATTAATTAAAAACAATAATAATTATTATAATTACTGTTGATCGAAGAGCATTATGACAGCTACCAAAACGTTTCTCGTTGGAACTGCTGCGGGGCCAGTGTAGGGTTATGGTTTTTAGCAAATCATCACATCTGCCCTATTTAGCCCTCTCGTGGATATTTATAGCTTCAAATAACCAAAGGTGCTAGAAACACTACGGTCTTGAACACGCTTCACCTCCAAAACAAGAACCTTTTTTCTCCATTTTTGATTTCCTTTGGCAGTTCCTGCCTTAATGTAGGAAGAAGCCGAAAATCGCGTTTTGTTGCCTGGCGAAAACGCATCGGAACCGGTGCCTTGACGTTTTAATCTTACCGATCATTTCAGGCAACCTGTTGGCGATCTTTGGCTCCACCCTACTTCAAGGTACTGACACAGAAAGCAGTAGAACTCTTTTTTTTTTTTTCAACGAACGCTGTTCATTGCACTAAATTGCCACAAGTCGACTAATACTGTAGCTCCACTGTTAGTATGCACGCATATGTAAACTGCGTGAAACCCAATTCGAGCGAGCGTTCGACACGTTAGCTTGTGAAACAACCCTAAATGGTGGCCGATTTTCTTTATCTGCTCAGTTGCTAAAACCGCATTTTATTTCACCATTATCATTCAGATTGGATTCCATACAGTGCATCATTCCCTGCTCCGCGTACTCGTGATGATGATTGGTGAACTGGACTTTGGATCAACCTTCATAAGCACCATTCACCAAAGGAGTGAAGCGAACAACAATCCATTGAATCCATTCCCTCCTTTTGGGTTTTTCTTCCTTTTTTTGTGCTTGTTTTTCCTTACTATCGCTCTAATGAACCTTTTGGTAAGGAACTAGTTTGATATGTATTTTTAACAGCTGAAAGAATAGGCTGAGGAAACAGCCGACATTTCGCGACGCCACCACTGGTTTCCCCGCGAAATGACGTCTGAGAAACGAGTACAGAAATTCCATACTGATGACCTGTCACTACCCTGATCTAGGTGGTGCTTCTGATTGGTTGAAGCAGATTTCCCTCGTTGCATGACTAATCAGAAGCACTGACTAGATCTGGGAAGTTAAACGTCATCAGTATGGAATTTCTGCTCTCTTTCCTCAGACATCATTTCGTAGGGAAACCAGCCGTGGCGTCGGGAAATTTCGGCTGTTTTCTCAGGCTGTTGAAGAGCCGCCTGTTTTAGTTTTCTGCGCATATTTGGGATTTTGCTTTTTAAGTCGACAGAAAAATTTTCAAGCTTGACTTTTGCAAGAAAAAAATACTTTTTTAGCGGGTATCGATTTCCTTAGAACTGTGTAAGCTATGTGAAATTTCTCGGAGAAATCACACGTCATTTGTAAAGGTTCCGTACAGGACTCTGTGTCTTTTCTCAATCTAAATCTAAATGTAGTTTAGTCGGCAACATCCACGGGGGACATCACGCCAACTGCAAAACACTTGGAATTGCAGAATAAATTTATTAATGAAGGTATGATCCTCGCAGTGGTAATAGACCTTTTTACCGATACGGCGGCCATATTGAATTAATTCGATTTAAAGAGTATTATAGGATGCCTAGGGGGCATGAGCACATTTCGTTTGTATTTTCGAGCGCTTTTTCGTGACATTTTTTCTTAAAGCTTTCTTATAATAAGATTGTCATGGGAAAAAAGATCCTTGTGCCGTGTTTGAATGTAATAATGATCGCCTTTTTCCGGTTTAGTACTAGAAATATGGTCTTTCACTGTATATTTCTCAGGAAAAGGCGATCATTATTACATCAAAACACGGCACAAGGGTCTTTTTTCCCATTACAACCTTATCCTAAGAAAATTTTAAGAAAAATGTTCGGAAAAGCGCTCGAAAATACAAACGAAATGTGCTCATACCCCCTGGGCATCCTATAATATTCCTTAAATCGAATTAATTCAATATGGCCGCCGTATAGGTAAAAAGGTCTATTGTAATTTAAGCAATTGCAAATAAACCCCCCCAAAAAAGTGTCGGGACTTCAACGGGATTCGAACCCATGGCCTCTGCGTTAGCGCTGCAATGCTCTACCATTTGAGCTATGAAGGCTTACACTGGGAACAGGCCAATTTGTTGAGTTCATCTTTACCGTGAAAGGAATGAAATATGAAGAAGATTTTAAATGAAGATATGATCGTCGCAGTGGTAATTGCAATTACCACTTGTTGGTCATTACAAGTTAGTCATTTGCTTGAAACAGCCCGCTCAAGACGGTGTTAGTTAAAGCTGTAAATGTGCATTTTAATGAGAGCCGAAAGAAACTTTTGCGACTACTTCGTACTCTTGTACTGCAATTGAAAAAAAAAAAATTTTTATCAACGAAATAGCCGTATTTACTGGAACGTTATAGCCACGGCGCTTAGTTACCCTTAAGGGTTCTCCAATGTAGCTCTTTTTCGAAGATGATGACGTGGGAATTAGCGAGCAAAATTCGCTGCGTTCAACAGTTATTAATCGCATGTAATGGGCGGATGCCGTCAGCGGTCCAAGAATTAAAAAATGTTGGACGAATGACGTATTTTTTTTCAAATTTAGCTACTGCTACTATTTCATAACAAGTGAAGCCAATCAGATTCGAAGAAACCGTTGTTTTTTTGTGACCAAGTCAGACGATATCCGAAGTTTGCTTTTACAAATCTTTATTTTATTGAGGTAAATTGTACCGTACAATTTTCCTGTAGGTTGGTCTGGCAGTGGGAGACACCGAGACAATGAAGAAATATGCCACGATCAAGAGACTTGGGATGCAACTAGAATACCAGTTTGAAATAGAGGAGGCGTATCCCAAATACATCATCCGAAGGGTTTACGAAAGGGTTTATGTAGAGAAGCCCAACAAGTTGCCTAGAGTCAACAGGTATACCTCATTTTGACCAAATCGCAGTAAAGCCTGGTTTTCACTAGCGCATAAGCGTAAGCACAAGCACATGCGTAAGCAAGTGAAAACTGGGTCGACATAAGCATAAGCACAAGAAAAACGTTCAAGTTCGTTCTTCTTGTGCTTGTACTTATGTTTATCTGGTAGCTTTGACTAGGGAAAACTGGGTTGACATAAGCACAAGCATAAGCACAAGGCCGTGGACCAATCATAGGTCACTTTGACCCAGACCTCATGCGAACATATCAAAAGCAATATGGCGGACGCTTCGTCCGCCATCTCGTTTATCATTGGGTTGAGGAGAGCTGGTATCGAGAATTGAGTCAAATATGCTATTCTGCGCGTGCGCATGTCCTTGTGAAAACCAGGCTTGAAAAATCGTGTGTGTGTATGCTCACATAGAGAGTTCGTTCGTGGAACACTCATTTAGCTGTCACTACAAATTTCCAGTCAGTTGTCCTTTGTATTACGTGTATTCTAAACATCGGTTAACACCAAGTGGCTTTAGATATTTTCATGCATTTTGCCTATAGATTAAGCGTGACCAAGAAATGGCTTTGGTTGCCAGGAGTTGCTGGGATACAAAGGCTTTGCCCCGCCTAGTATTTGTATTAGCTTTTACTGCCCTGTTGATCTGTTTTCTTGCTGAAGATAGGGTTACCGGAAATTGGAATTCCCATATTGGTGCTAACATTTAATTGAAAGGAAAATACATTGTAACTTGTTTTACTCCTTAGAATAATAGATTGGGTGCATGCAAGGTTTGCTGAAGCAGCTCCACAACCGGTCGAAGAGGGTCAAACATCTGAATTTGCTGAACTAAAAGAAGAGATGTTAAAAAACAAGAAGAGGATCAAATCTATGATGGCCATGTTGGAGGCCCAAAACAAGCTACTCAAGAACCTTGCAGCTGTCGTCGACCCCAAATTTAAGGTTCGGGAAGATGTTGACGGTGTGAGTGGTGCAGCGCGGGCATCGCTTGAAGGCGGCATAGAAAGCGAAATGCCAAAGTAACATTTAAGCGTCTACTTTACAAGAGGGTAAAAGCTCATGGATGCTGCTTTTTAAAGTGTGTTGTGTTAAGTTCTTTAGTTGACAAAAAAAGGACTTGCATGTCTAAAGCTTACGTTTCATTCAGCATTCATAGCAGTGCTTTTGCAACGATTAAATGTCTAATGCATTTTTTGTAAAGGTAACCAGACAATAATGTGGCGAAGCTAAATATAAGTGGTTTTCTCTGCACCTACGCCATTGCTTTTGGCAGGGTCGTAATTAACCACTCAGATGTTTTTGCTAAGGTACCAACAAACAGGAATACACACGTTTTAGTGACACGTTTTAATTTCCTGATTTTTCTTGGCCGCCTGGCGCCATTTAATTTTGTAGAGACCCAGCAGTTTAATTTTGTGCAGTTGTCACAGACACGAGTACGTAACATAACCTTATCGAAACTAGAGTGGAAATATACAGAGAAATGTTCTGTTGTTATTGTAACACAATTCAGCCCTCCAACCGTGGGCTCTTGGACTCTCCAGATTTAGATTCAGGGGCTCCCTTGTTGACGCCCTTGGAGATGAGGGAGTTGACCCCTATGGTTCGACTTTTTAAACAAAGCCTTTCCGTAGGACCTTCGCATAGCTCTGATTAGTTTGTACTACTTTACAAAATAAAATCGCTTGAGTTTTACAAAGTTTATCGAAATGTGCGTTGAAAAGGTACCGAAAACGCACCACGCATATTTAACTCAATGGATCATTTGCTTTGCACAGTATTTTTAAAATAAAATCGGGCCTTCTTCTTGATTTTATTTTTTGATTTGCAACTGTTGGCGCACATAGCTTTTGATCCTGGACTTGACCAGGTTTATCAATGCTAGTACATACATGGCTTGGTAATCAATTAAGCTTCGTTAACTGTCAAGGCTTCTGCCTGAAGAGGTAACATTAAATAAACATAGAAGTGAAAAAATAGTGTTCTTTAATTCTGTGGTCGATTGTTTATGTACAAAACTAGATTAAATCGCTCCAATTGTTCTACAAAAATACAAACTCTTAATACATTGCCATGCAAAGTTAGCATCTTAAGCAACACAAGGCATATTGTACAGATACATAGTATTGCTCTTCTTAAAAGCTGTGAAGCAGTACCTCTGCGTTACTTTGCAAAGACTGAGCTGGTAATGTTACTTTGCACTGCTGTATTAAATTCATGGGTAAATCTTTCGAGGCGTACATTAAAGCGTGCATAGATTGTCTGAAAAAGCTGACGGAAGAAGTGTTTGTAAAAAACGTTGCCCATTGTTTTTAAGTCTTTATTTTGATTCAAAAAATTAATAAATCTTGCCGAATTAACTTACTGTTATTTGAAAACAACTACTAGACGTAAAATGGTAAGCCACAAGGGCGTTTGCCGCTTGGTATTTCCTTTTGTCCAGGGATGCTTACTATTATGCAAAAATTACCCTGGTAGAAATCATGTGCATAAACATAAAACTATGAAATTTTTTTCGGGAGAACGACCCGCCACAAAGTATGTTCAAATCATCTAAACAGACTAACAAGAGTAGAAAAATTGCACCACTCCGAATCACAGCTCAGATTTTCTGAAACTTCCAGCGGAATGGCGCAAAACATTTGATTTTTCAACTGGAATTTCCGGTTTTTGGATGTAAATGGTAAGTACCCTGATGTTATTTTCTTCTTCGACCATAAAGGCATCCATCCTACAAGCAACGCACTTGGTATCTTGGCAAGAGGGTATTGCAACCTTAATCTATGATGCGTGATGCCCTGCGCTCTCTGTTTTCTGCTGTTCAGTGACACCAGGGATGAGGTGACGACCCTCTGCGAACATGGCAAAATTTCAAGTAATTTATAACAAATCTCCTGGGTTTTTGACTAATTTAATTTCCCAAGGTTTAAACTGTTCTCTTGTTCAGACTGTTTTATTTGTTCTTTTCAATCAGAGTTTAGGTCGCTGTCGTTTTGGGAATTGTCCCACTGTCTTTTGACTCCTGTCCATCGAGCAAGTCTGGTGATATAGTTAACAGGTCTTCTAAACTGGACGATCTATAATCATTAAACTTCATCGCGGCTTTTGGTTCAATCTTCAGAACTAATCTTCTCAATAACATGTTCTGCGTCTCGACAACATTCACTAAAGTTTTGCTGCGGTTTTTAGTTTTATCGAGTTGTTTTCTAACCTCTCTGTACTCCCACCTATTGGAATCCTCCTCGTCAGCTGGAAGAGTTAAAGTCCAGCTTTGTAGACCCTCTCATTGCAATACAAGCCAAAAATCTGCGAGGGAAAAAAAAGAAAAAGGAAGTACAAAGAATGAAGAGCAATTGCTTTCAGGGTAACTACAGATGAGTTTCTTATACTTACAACAGCATGCTACGAGTTTTTCTGTATTAAACCATCATGCCAACATTATAACCTCGGTTGATGTCTGAGTATCAAAAGGTACTAAAGGCCTTTCCAGTATACGATGGCGCGTCATTTTTCTGCTGCTGCTGCTGCTACTACTACTACTACTTAGTAAAAAACGCCCACTCAATTTCGCGAGAAAAAAAATTTTTGCCTGAAACTCTATCTGAGTTCCTTTTTACCGGCTAATTGTTGCTGAATTACAATGCGACTGGTTAATATGCTAGCCAAACACGAAAGGTTAGGAGAGAAATTATCACTCAGTATTAATTACTTTAAACCATTACCAGATACAAACAAACAGGAATACACACGTTTTAAGTGTCAAAATTGCCTGATTTTTCTAGACCGTTTAGCGCCATGGAGTTTTGTACAAGCCCAGCAGTTTAATTTTGTACAGTTGTAATAGACACGAGCACGCAACGTTACATTACTTTACTCAGATAAAATTGGATTTTTTTGTAAAGTAAAAGGGTCGAGACATAGCTTTTGATCTTGGACTTGACAAGGACCAGCAATGCCTGTACATAAATCATACTCATACATGAACATGGCTTGGTAAGCAATTAAACTTATAATAATGATTAATAATAAATGTCATAAATGTCATTGTCTAGGTTGTTCCAGTCCTTTTGTCCAGATCGAGGGAAGTAAGTCGACTACACGTACCTTAACTTGTTGGGTTCCTCAAGCGTCGGTCTTGGGTATACTGCTATATGTATTATACACAGCGCCTGTTGCTGACATCATTAAGTCTCATAATCTACAGTACCACTTCTATGCTGACGACTCACAATTATACGTCACCTTTAATACCAACTGTGATGTGGATGCTGGCCTGTCCAGGTCAAGGGTTGAACACTGTGTTGCAGATATCGACAGATGGATGACTAATAATAAGCTAAAGCTCAACGAGAATAAAACAGAGCCACTGGTTACAAGCTCCAAGTATAGATCACGGCCAATGGTCACTTCTATTCAATTAAGAGTTGAAACTATTAAACAGCAGCCCTTTGTAAGAAATTTGGGAGTGATACTTGACCAGGATATAGCAATGGATAAACATATAAGTATGATATGTAAAACCTCCCGACACCATCTTCGAAACATAGGGAACATTAGAGAATTCTTAGATCAAGGTTCTGCTGAAACCTTAGTTCACTGCTTTGTTACTTCTAAGATTGACTATTGTAATGCTCTTTTGTTTGGACTACCTAAATATCAGATCAATAGGCTGCATTTAGTATTGAACACTGCTGCGCGTGTAGTCACTCTTGCTTACAAATACGACCATATAACTCCTGTAATGAAGTCGCTGCATTGGTTATACCGGTATCTCAACGTATTACTTTTAAGATTTCTCTATTAATTTATAAAGCAACTCAACGGCTTGGTACCTATTTATCTATCCGACCTATTGGCCCCGCGCTGTTATAAGCGCTCACTTAGATCTTATTCTCAGGAGCTTTTAAGTGTTCCAAGATCTAGAACTGTGACTTACGGAGATGAGGCGTTTTCCGTTATATTTGACACCCCACAGTCTGTCTCCATGGTCAAACAGTGGGATGATTAAGCAATTGTATAGAGTTAGCTTAGCATGTAAAGGTAAAAATGTCGTGTTCTCTTTATCATTCCATTCCTTTCATTGATTTTCGTACTGACAGTATCAGTGAGCACAGACCAAGCCAAGTTTGGTTTATAACTTCTCCCACGTACTTAAACGAGTCAGACCTTTCAATAGCAGTGAAATTTACTTTTAGAGAAACGTCATTAACCAGTTTAAGCTTCCGTGAGTTACCAAAAATTCCGAAATTGAACTTAGAAATATTTAGTGTCAACAGATTACTCGAAAACCAATTGGAAACTGTAGCCAAACCAGAATTTAACTTGCTTTCAAGGTCAAACAGATCAGTCGATGAGTAATAAATCACAGTGTCATCAGCATAAAGAACAATTTAACTGGCAAGCTGACACAAAGGTAAATCATTCTAATAGATAAGTAAAAGAAGAGGTCCTAATATGCTTCCTTGTGGGACCCCAACAGTTAATATGCAGCCACAGAAAGTGTATCTCCGACAGACGTCCTTTTTTTTTCTGTTAGTCAGGTATGTCTGGAACCAATTAACAGTGTCATATGAGAGTCCGACCGATTTAAGCTTATAAAGTAAAAGGTTGTGGTCAACTGTGTCGAACGCTTTCGAGAGATCCAAGAAAACAGCCCCTGTAAGACGACCAGAGTCCACGTTCAGAAGTATGTTATCAGTAAAGTGTGTCAAAGCTGTATTTAGATAGCTTGGGTCGAAAACTAAATTGCTTGGAGGTAATGATCTTGTTGTCATTGAGAAAATAGTAGAGTTGGTTATGTACCTTCTTCTCCAGAAACTTACTCAACGTAGGTAACACTGTTATTGGCCTGTAATTGTTTGGGTCTCAGTGATCGCCTTTTTTTGATAAGAGGGCGAATACCTTTGCAAACTTCCATATTAAGGAAGGGAAAGTGAGACTTTACTAATTACACTAGCCGAGTCTTTCAGAAGACGGGCTCTGATATTGTCTAAGCCAATTGCTGCATTGGTTCCAAGATGTTT